AAAAACGACAAAACTAAGAAAAAATAAATGAACTATATCTATGTAAGATACTAATGTTCACGAGTTAGATGGCAAAGGAAAAGGTTTTAAATGATGAGGCGGACGGGGCTAGCTTGACATGCTCGGAAAACGAAAAAAAACAAAAAACAACAAAACAAACAAACAAAAAAAAAAAAACAATGATTGAACCAAATACACTGATGTTGTATAGAAATGCAACATTCCCATGTACTCACCCTCATAGCACCAAGACGGGCCCCTCCTTTAGTGCTAAACAGATCTCTTTCGGCAAGTTCCAGAGCAGAATCAATTCTCCTCTTAGTTCCAGGACGACGAGGTGTACTGTCTACTAACTTCTGGACATTACCTTGGGTAAGTCTCTCACCTTGAAGGGTTTTGAAATTGAAGTGAACTGCTGGATCTCTAGAGTAYGTTATTAGGCCAAAGCGAGTTCCATCTGGTGCAGACGAAACCTTAGGGAAGGTTCCAATAAGGTATTTCGTAAATGAGGTGATACGGTTCCAGTTCTCTGATGATATATCTTCGGATGAATCTAGCAGAATACCAACGTCTAAAGCTCCCTTTTCTACTAAAAAAATGAAATCAATTAGATGAAAGGAAGGAAGGAAGGAAGGAAGGAAGGAAGGAAGGAAGGAAGGAAGGAAGGAAGGGAGGATGGATGGATTTATGGATGGATGAAGCCACACAATGGAAATAAAGGCGATTACGCATTATAAATAAAAACGGGGAAAAACAACACCATATCAATTTATCCCCTTGCTTTACACGTTAAAAGCACTTGCCTGCTTTTGAAGGAGTAGTCGGCGTTGATTCTGGCGCCTTTCCTGAGAGAAACAAGAAAACGTAAATAATTTCCTCAATTAATACAAAAAGTATAAATAAATGAATATAAATAAATAAATAAATAAATAAGTTATCGATATTGTATAAGTGCAAGCAGCACAACTTGTAAACAGCAAAGGAAAAAAAAAAAAAAAAGAATAAAGAAGAGCCAACCAGTAAAGAAAATTAATGGAAAATATCCAACCCCACTTTCCCGTTGTGAAAAAATCGATGCTTCAAAACTCCACTCTTGGTGTGATACGTAAGACGGCTTAGTCGCGTATCACTTACTATTTTAAAATGTGACTTTCTGACCTTAGTTTATGGAGAACAAATTCCTCCAAAAGAAATAAAGTCTACTTTAGTTTTTTAATATGTACTGTAGAGTGCATTTTTCCATGAATCTTTTGACCAACGAGCCTTCAAATTGATAACAATCTCAATATAGTACGTATACGATTGTATGGATGCGATTTCTATTTAGTTAGTTCAAATAAAGAATTGATTCTTTCAAAACTCTAGTTTCTCTAGTTAAACTCTAGGCATTTTTTAAAATTTATTTTAACTCCTCGATTTGTTGCTTTCCTCGATTTTTTAAAATATTAATTACCAAAATTAAAGCTACATRTGCGAGATCGACCATCCTCAGTGCTAAACATCATCCAACATCCAACATTGAGATTCCAGCTCCTGATATAAATAGCTATTCAAGCCTTTGAAACTCTCTCCCAGTGTTCGTAAGCAAAAGACAATTAAGAAAACGTTTAATATTAATATTATAACAATAAGCCACCCAGCTTGCCAACCAATCGACCAGTAACTAACTACATTTATTAAATAAAACTATTCCAATAAACAAACCTCGTATTAAATCAATCAACGGTCGCCCTTGTTCTRGCAACTGATCGTAGGTKTCAGGATTTAATACGTGACTGGGGCTGCTAACCACTCCATTCAATTGWGATGGGTCACGACGACGTCCTACCCGTACAGCGTATATCCCCACATTTCCATTCCTCAACTGGTTCACTAWTTGTCCTCTTTGTGCTGCATATCGTGGATCCAAGTCACCTCCRGAAARRATRACYAARATCTACAACGGAATCCATCAAAAWATTAATCCAAGMCCCAATCCTACAKTCATTAGCAGTATTTGATTGAAACCTTCTTACCTTTCTTGCRTYAGGTCGTGCACCATATTTTGACTCGCTGAATCCAGCATTTGCCATTTGAAAACCAGCACGGATGTATCTCTGATCTCCAGTCAAAGGAAGGACCCTATCTATGTCTTGATTGACTCTTTCGGTGTCGTAACGGTACTGCAGTTGGCCGGCTGACGGAAATGAGAACCGCAGTGCTCCTCCATTGGCGTACACTGCGTACGCTACGTGAGTACCTTTAGGAGAGATCTGGAAATGTCTCAACAGTGATTTGGAGAAGCTCTTCATCCTGTTGAAAGGCACACCACTAGAGCTATCAACCAAGAACATCAGATCAATGGGCTTTGGTTTTGCTGGAAAAATAAAAACGATTACCAAACCTGTGTAAGTAACATTTCTTGAACTGGCGACTTGCACCTTCAAAAGTAAGCAATAACCACATAGGAACGATAGACACATTCTAAAAAAATATAGCACGAATATAGAAACATCAAGTATCAATCACCTTGAGTAGTCGCTGTAGCTTCTGGAACACTAGTTGGAGCCTTTCCTGGTAAAAATCAATTGAACGTTTTCAAGCCGATTATACTGAATTGTGTCAACAATTTGGAGCCAAGCGCTATACAAAACACATTCACCTACCCTTTCCTTAAGTAAAGCCAGATCATACATATTGAATATATATATATATATATATATATATTTAGGCACTGCCTAAAAGCGGATCTCGCAATAGGGAGCCCAATTTAGATAAAACTGAAAGATGAAAATAAAATCCATCGGACGAAGCGAAGCGAACGAAAAACATACGATATTGGGTTAAAAACAACCGAATTGTTAAAGATTTACAATGCTAAATAAAGGCCAAATAYTTGTTGCAATATTTGCTCTCCGGATTATATTTCATCCAGCATTAAAATCAATTAAGCTTATATATAGAAATATTAACAGTTTTGAGAGAAATTCTTTGATTTGTCGATAAAAATTCTTGTCAAAATCATTATTAAATAATATATTACTGTTTGCTAAAAAACACACACCTGACTTCTTGCAGAACACTTCATGATATACCTTTGACTATATGAAAGTTTTTTTTAATTGTTGTTAGTCTATAATTTGTCCTAAAACTAATTTTTCTGTGCATTTGAGATCCGCATTTACGAGTAGTTTTTCTCTGACATCAATCGGGATCCCTGTGTTGTGTACACGGACGTACGGACGGAAGTGACGTCAGCCAAGCCATGAAAAATCAACTCGATGGTTTACCACTTTTTCTTAAGTATGGTGCTCCACTCGGGAGCTCCGCTATCACAGCAAAATGCAATTACTAAATATAGCAGATAGAACGAATAAAGAAACATCAAGTATCAAATACCTTGAGTAGTAGGTGTAGCTTCAGGAACACGAGTTGGATCCCTTCCTGATAAATATTAATTAAACGTTTTCAAACCGATTATACTGAATTGTGTCAATAATTTGGAACCAAGCGCCTATACAAAACACATTCACTCATCCTTTCCTTAAGTAAGGCCAGATTACACATAATTATCACAGCAAAATGCAATCTCTAAATATAGCATATAGCACGAATACAGAAACATCAAGTATCAATCACCTTGAGTAGTAGTTGTATCTTCAGGAAGTAAGAGTTAATTACCGAGAACGGAGGCAATTAATTATGTTATTTATCAATTGAGAAGGTTTTCTATCAAATGTTGCTCATTATAAATACGAACGGTCTATATATAGTTATTAACCGGGTTAATAACTATATATTGACCTCGCATTTATAATGAGTGTTATAACAAAAATAAAGCCTTGTGAATAACAAAGAAAACCGTGTCAATTGAGAAATAACACGAGTTGGAGCCTTTCCTAATAAATATGAATTGAACGTTTTCAGACCGATTATACTGATATTGTGTGAACAATTTGGAAAAAAGCGCTACACAAATCACATTCACCCACCCTTTCCTAATCAAGGCCAGATCACACATATTTATCACAGAAAAATGATATTTCCAAAACTAACCTTCTATAGCCTGCATGAGCGGTTGGGTCTGTGCTGGCAACTGTTCGTAGGTGTCAGGATTTAATACGTTACTGGGGCTGCTAACCACTCCATTCAATTGAGATGGGTCACGACGACGTCCTACCCGTACAGCGTATATCCCCACATTTCCATTCCTCAACTGGTTCACTAATTGTCCTCTTTGTGCTGCATATCGTGGATCCAAGTCACCTCCGGAAAGGATAACTAAAATCTATATTGGAATCAATCAAAACAT